GGGTGGGAAGTACCTGTCATAGGGGCAGGCTGGGGGGGTGTTGGGATGGGCGGGAAATTGGGACATTGCCACTGGTAAATGCACACTGGTGGAGGGATGGGTGTTGAAACACTGTATGACTGAAACTCAGTCATGAACAGCTTGGAACACTGTATGACTGAATCTCAATCACGAACAGCTTGTAATGGTCTATATCACAGTGATTCAATAAAAAAAATGTAAAAAACCCCCAAAGTAGCTACTCTTAAAGATGTCTGCTTTAAACATATAGAGATTTCTCAAAACTAAAACAAAAGTACTATCGTATGATCCTGTAATTGCATGCCGAGGTATCTATCCCAAGAAAGCACACACAAAATTTCGAAATGATATGTGTTCCCTGTAGTGCAAAGTAAGCCAAGCCAAGATAACACAAGACAAGCCAAGCCAAGCCAAGCCAGGCCAACAACTGTGTGCAAACAGAGAACAGTGGTTGAGAAGAGGTGGAATACTACTGAGTAGTGAGAAAGATAGCATCCTGCCTTGTGCTACCACAGGGATAGAATGGGAGGGGTCATGCTCTGTGAAATAAGTCAGAAGAGGAAAGACAAATATGGTCTGATCTTACTCAGAGCAAACCTAAATCAACAAGACCCAGCTGTTGAGTGAAGTGAGTCAGAAAGAGAGGGACAGATGTAGGATGACCTTCACAGTAGAGCAGATGCCTTAAATGTGTGAGGCCCTGGGTTTGAGCCCTGGCAGCACACACATGCAAGTATGTTCTCTCTCTCTCTCTCTCTCTCTCTCTCTCTCTCTCTCCCTCTCTCTCTCTCTCTCTCACACACACACACAGCAACGTATTTAGAGAAGTGTCAATGTTCAGGGAAAACAAGCCCTTAGACTCTGCCCACTGAGGTCACCAAGGGGGTGGGGGGCAGGGAGGGGAGTGTCCCCGAAGTCTACAAGCATGCCCATCCCTTGTAAACCAAATGCTACCTCAATCAAAAATAGATTTAGAAACGCAGGTTTTCTCAAAGGTGTCTCTCATCAAGGGTGCCAACAGCTTTCTTACAGCTACACGCCACCTCCATTTACAGCCCATGAATTCCCAATCATGAAACACCTACATGTTTTGTCCTTATCCAAAGAGAAGATTTAGCCTTTCAGAGGGAACTCTGCCATCCTGCTCTATTTCCTCATCATCTCGCCAGCGAAGGATTTTAATTACCCGTCCTACTTTCAGATTGCTGTGGCGTGGGTCGAGACTCGGTGCTGGAAGCCTGATGTCAGTATGTTTTTTTGAAAGAGGCATGATGACAACTCATATTAAGCTCACAATTTACTCTATTCTAATCTTCTCCTTAAAATGACTCCATTAGGCAAATGCGCACCTCTAATTTAGTCCAATCAGCTCCTGGCTCCGAGGACTAATTCCCCCAGCCCCATCGCTAATAGCCGCAGACAAAGGCATATTGATCAACAGCTCAAAGTGCTCTTGTCCTCTGACGATTTCTCTCTGTCTCTCTTCCCCAGGTCGACCTTTGCTGCCAGCCCCAAGCCCAAACCAACACGCGTCCTCCTTTGCTTTGAGGGTGGTGGAGAGAAGAGAGATCTCCAGATTCGACCCCATGTAACTCTTGTTTTTTTTTTTTTTTTTAATTTTGCTTTTTGGGTCACACCTGGCGATGCACAGGGGTTATTCCTGGCTCTGCACTCAGGAATTACTCCTGGCAGTGCTCCGGGGACCATGTGGAATGCTGGGAATCGAACCCGGTTCAGCTGCGTGCAAGGAAAATGCCCTACCCACTGTGCTATTGCTCCAGTCCAACCCCATGATATATATATTTTTTTCTTTTTGGGTCACACCCAGAGATGAACAGGGGTTACTCCTGGTTTATGCACTCAGGTATTACTCCTGGAGGTGCTTGGGGGACCATATGGGATGTTGGGAATCGAACCCAGGTTAGCTGCATGCAAGGCAAATGCCCTCCCCGCTGTGCTATCGCTCCAGCCCAACTCCCCCATGTAAATCTTAACAAGAATATATATATATATATATTTTTTTTTTCTTTTTGTGTCACACCCAGCGATGCACAGGGGTTACTCCTGGCTCATGCACTCAGGAATTACTCCTGGTGGTGCTCAGGGGACCATATGGGATGCTGGGAATTGAACCTGGGTCCACCACGTGCAAGGCAAAGACCCTACCCACTATGCTATCACTCCAGCCCCCCAAATATATTTTCTTTATTTTGATTTTGGGTCCCGCCCGGTGGTGCTCAGGGTTTATTTTTGGCTCTGTGCTCAGGATCACTCTTGGTGGTGTGTGTGGGAATCTGATGTGACACTGGCAATCCAACCAGGGTCAGCTGCATGCAAGGCAAGAGCCTTAACCCCTATCCCACCTCTGCAGCCCAGCCTAGTGACAAGAGCAGGACTGATGTTCCAGCTACACACTCACTGCTCCACTCCAGCCATACCACCAGGGGAAACTCCTTCCAACCAGCCTTCCAGATAAGGCTTCATTTTACCGGCCCTTAAAAATACTCCAGCCAACTCGCATGGCATTAAATCAGGCGACACTGTTTCCTGACGAGGGATGAAATAGATACAGGTCACATATTTCAGGAGGTTCCCGATGTAAATTGTGTTTCTAGCCATGGGTCTGTCCGTGAGACAACTCGCCAAGAAATGTCTTCAGTAACAGGCTAGAGGTTTGGATAAACAAGGCGGGCAAGAGTAAATTGTCTTGCCGGGAGAGAAATATCCAGCTGTATTTCTCTAGGCATAAAGGTCACGTCTCATTGACAGAAAATCGTTGCTGCTATTAAGACTAAACTGGACGGAGAGACCCAAGGACGAGTGCCGGCACTGGAGCCACGGGAAACAGTGGACGACCAGCATCGTGACCCAGAGCCGCGAGGTCTGGGGGACAAAAGCCAGCCTGGGAGCATCAAACTCCTCATCGACGATGAGAGCCAGGTCACCCACCCAGGACCCCAGAGGTCTCCAGCGCACGGTGCTTGGCCAGTGGGGAGGAGGGTACGAGCATTCCATTTGGGACTGCTTCCTTTGTAGCCAGGCCTGGAGGGAGAGGGGCGGAGCTTTCTGAACCCCAGTTCTGTTTTATTTGTTGTTTTTTGTTTTGGGTCACACCCAGTGATTACTCCTGGCTCTGTACTCAGGAATTACTCCTGGCGGTGCTCAGGGGACCCTATGGGATGCTGGGAATCAACCCGGGTTGCCCATATGCAAGGCAAATGCCCTACCCGCTGTGCTATCGCTCCAGCCCCATGAACCCCAGTTCTGGACCAGAGACTTTGCAGAGGGAGAGCGCACCAGGCAGGGAGGTTCCTTCCTCCTGATTATCCCTCAAGGCTGCCGATGCCTTGAGGACCCACAGGCGGGATGGTAGCCCGGCAGGGTGAGCCGAAGGGCCCCTGGGTGCCCTTGGGGGCCACAAGGGGCCCCACTGCCTGTGTGAGCTCAGGGCATCTGCTCACAGGAGCTCCTCCTCGGCCAGCTCCTCAGGGAGTGTGGACGGCTGATTCCTTGCACCCGGGGGTGGGGGGATGGTGATGACTACCCTGATGTACCTGCAGGTTCTCAGAGCTGGAGCGAACCAGGCCCAGGAGTGGGCATCAAAAAACAGCTGACAGACACATGGTCGGGGAGCAATGGCTGGAAACGGGGTGGTGCCCGACGCAGGGGCCTGGGGCCGAGACAACCTGGGACAGAGGCCAGGGGGGCGTGGTGCTATGGAAGGGGCCTGCACCCCAGACCCCGGGAGCCCCCGGCCGTGGCACGTGGGTGGGAGTTGCTGGTGGGGTCCTCTCTCCTGACTCCTCTGCCCTGGGCGCACCCCAGGGTGCTGCTGACGGGGTCCCCGGAATGCTGGTCACGATCCAAAGCCAAAGTCCCAGGCCTCATCCACCCACAGGCACATCCCAGAGCCCAGGGAAGGCCCCAGAGGCGCGACGGTGTCTGCTCTGGTGGCCTCCTCACCCCAGGGGGGGGGCCCGGCGCCTGGAGGTTGGGGGCACAGCGCAGGACCCCTGCATCATAGTCACAGTGCTGAGCTGTCACTTCCTTCCAGAGCAGACACCCCTCACTGCTCCCGAAACCCAAACTCCCAGCTCAAGCTAGGCCAAGACCCGGTGCCACCCCCTCCACACAGCCGGCCTGGCGACGCCTGCCACCGTGGCCGGGCCACAGCTGAGGCCCCTGTAGCCGGGAGGAGGGTCACCACACAGGGCAGGGGGAGTTGGGGAGCACAGAGAACGCTCCCGGGAGGTGGGCTGGGCCCGGGGCTGCCTTCTGCCCCAGAGGACGGGGCTCAGGGACACACACACGGGAGCCCAAACGCCACCTCTGGCATCTGAGCGAGACTCCAGCGCCGTACTCGGCCTTCTGGGGTGCCACACGGATGCAGCAGCCTGGGTCCGAATCCCACCCGGCAGCCCAAGTTGGAGCCTTGCTTCTGTCATATGACACGTGTGGTCCCCGTTGTGGGGGACAGCACAAGGGACCCTCAGTCTCAGCCATGGCCAGGAGCAGTGCACCTTCGGGCCTGGCCCCTGCTGGTGCTTCATCTAGAAAAGATGCCCCTAGCCAGGTCTGCCCTAGAGCCAAGCGGGCACTTCCGGCCTCCAGGCTCAGGGCACACCTGCGCCCTGTGCTCTGCACATAGGGCCCCTCCCCCAGAGCCCCCTTGCTAGCAGGACCCTCCCGTGGCTGGGGAGTCCCTTCCATCCTTTGCTCCAAGGGTCTCCCAGAGCCCCTTCAGGGTCCTCGCATGGACACTTACTCCGAGAGCTGATGTGGAAGTCCAGCCACCAGTCTAATGCCCCGTGAGGGAGACGTGAGGGTGATCTGACCCATCCCCCCGAGACGGGGGCTCCCACATCTCTCCTGGCACAGAAACGTGCTCCCCAGAGCCAGCCGGGGCCGTGCCCAGTCTTCACGGCTGGTGCTCGCCCACTCAGGAAGGGGCGCCGTCCCCGGGGTGTGAGCCCACGTACCTGGCCCCCACAGCGTGACGCACTGCTGCTCGTGGGTCTGGCAGATGCCGTTGTAGCAGTAGCCGTCCACGCCCTGGCACGGGTGCCCGTCGTGCAGGTACACGTTGGCGGGGCAGTGGGGGCTGGCACCCGTGCAGAACTCGGGGAGGTCACAGGAGTTGCCGGAACCTCTACACGCTGTCCCCGCAGGCTTCAGCTGCAAGGACAAAGTATTCCGGGTATGAACATCACAGGGCCGGGGGGCTCCGTGCCCATCCCACCCTGGGGGTCAGCCTGGTGTCCCACCCCAGGGCAGCAGAGTCAGCGTCTTAAATAAAGAGCCATGAGCTGGCCCTGTGGTGCATGGGGCCATGGCCGGGCACCAAGGGCAGTCCCCGTTCAATCCAGGTGCCGGCAGGGTTCTGAGCAGCGGTCACTGGGCTGGTCTCCAGCTTGGACAAGAGGGACTATGGGCCTGAAGGGTTTCTGGGTCCAAGCCTACTGTGTCCATGCTCACACCAGAGCAGAGTTCATGTGTGCTGATCCCGCCCTGCCCGGGACATGGACAGGGCCAGCAGCCTTGGGAAGTGGCCTCTCGGCTCTGTGCAGAGGCCTGGTGCACGCTGAGAGGCTGGGCACTGGCCTGGCCTCTCACTGCATCCATGTCAGGAGGGACGAGTTGGTGGAGGTCGAGTGTCCAGGAGGACTGGGGGACTGGGGCCGAGCTGAGGAGAGGCACCCCCCCCCCCCCCATCCACCCATGCACACAAACCCCTGTGTGCCCCGATCACTTCCCAGCCGTGGTGGAAGGACCATGGTAGGCTCAGCGTGAAAGAGTGTGAAGGTTTCTGAGGGCCGGAGGAGGGGCCGAGACCGAGCAGGATGGCCAGGAGGCGCTGGCCAAGGCCCGGCCACTCTGTCTACACTGCAGGCCTGGCGACCCGGAGCTCACCCTGCAGTCTTCACAGCACAGCCCGTGCGCGCACACCGCCTCTGGCTTCAGGGTGCAGGAGGAGGCGTTGCAGCAGAGGTTGGTGCATTCCTGGGGAAGAGGGGGGAGTCAGTGGACACAGCACCCAGCACGGCTGCAAGGAGGCAGGTCTCAGGGCCGGCTTGGGGCTGGAGAGCTTGGAGGCCGGCTTGGAGGGCCGGCTTGCGGGCTCTCATCTGTAAAAGGGCGGCGCTGTTCAATGAAGCCACTGCACCTGCCGGCCTGGGGGAAAGCCCGCACACCTGAACAAGGGCTGAGGGCTGCTTGGGAAGTCCTCCAGGGAGGGGGACTGGGCCGGGGGTCCATGGGACAGCTGGCCCCACAGCAGTGGCCTACACACAGTTTTAGAGTACTTGGAACGGCACGACAGTGCATCTCAGCTTAAAGACGGGCTTCTGGCTGCACAGAGGAAGTGAATCACTGGCTTCCAAATTAGCTTCAAGGAGACCCCTTCTTAGCACGGTGGGCAATGGACCCACCCAGCACCCCTGCATCAAAATGGCAAGAGGTGAGGGGGCCAGAGAGAGGCCTGAGGACGGGAGGCAGCTGCCTACAGGGCCAACCCTGATGCCACCTACCAGCAGTGACCCCGAGGACAGAGCCACGAATGAGCCCTGACCACCTCTGGGGCTGCCCTGATGCCCTCTGATCCCCCCACTAACGTGCAAGAGGCCAAGGGGGATGTCCCAGCCCTTTGGCCCCTGCCTTTGTATACAAGACATATTGCCAGGTCGGTCCCGTCTGAGACGTGCCATCCTCTCTGAAGTAAGAGGAAGAGAAGAAACCAACCCCTCACGCTGTGCTTCCCAGATATCCAGGTTTTTCCTAACAAAGCAGAGGCAGAACGTCGCTTAGTCCAGTCCCCGTTTCCTTGTGTGTGAAGGCCCCCGTGCCTTAGAACGTCCAGCAACTTGGAGTGTGTGCAGTTGAGAAGAAATGGAATTGTCAGAAGAAGGAAGAGTTGATCGGGCCTTTAGTTCTAATTGATTCATCCAACTCCTTTTATTGTATTGAATATTCACTGGGTGCCAAGACTTGCCGGACCATTGACACTTGCTAAATAGTGGAATACTTTCTTCCTGAAAGCCATCCTTTGTGAATAAATTTGTCCCTAGTACCAGAAATGGGATTTGTACTTCTTGCTAATAATCCAGATTGTCTTCGTACAGCACGCCCCGAGAATGATGGCCCCCGTTGGCTTCCTCCCTGGCTTCCCACTCTACATACCTCCGTGTTATCACATCCTAAATGTGTCCAAGGCCTTCCTAAACATCCGGAGTGTATAACATATACAATGAGATAAGACTGCCAACCAGAAGCCATTGCTGTAGCTTTCTTGACAGGAAGGGGTTCGAACTCATGTTCCAGACCTGAGGAAGTGGGGGAACTTCCTTTTGCTTTCTGTCCAGGAGTTCAGGTATCCAGTTCCCCATGCATGCCCCAGGGAAACGCCACGTCCCTGTGTTCACAAAAGTTTAACCGGCTCCACTCATGACTCACTGACCCCAGCAGAGATTCCCTGGGAGTCCTGAGTCAAATCCACCCGCTTACGACTGGGTCCTTTAAGACCTCCCCACCCCCCACCCCATCCCTGAGTAACATAAGCAGCAGCTCCGTGGAATCCGGGCCAGGCAGCATGGCCGTGACTTCAAAGGGGATTGATAATGTGAGAGAGAGAGAACCGAGTTGAAAAGATATTTGCGAGCTACTGGCATCCGATTGACTTTAAACAAGGAGATAAGCGGCTTTCCCAGCCTCCGGGCTGCCAGGCCGAGGTCGCTGTCACGAAGCTCTGGTTGATGTCAGTCCAGTGCCCTGGACGGAAGCTGTCAGCAGGCACTTGCCTGCTTCACTGCCCAGAGTCTATTTCGTCGGCGACCTTGTGTTTATCAGAAGAAGCCAATTCTTCATCTGTTGATTCATTTATCACCCCAGGACTCGATAGAGAAGTTCAGTAAGTCTCCAAAGTGGGAAAGAAAAATGAAGCCATTAGGGAGCTCCCCGCCAATGGCCTTAATTGTCATTCTCCGGCTGTAGGAGGGAGACACAGATCCTTAATCACAGGACCCGGGATCAGATGAGAATGCATCTTCATGAAAACAGCAGAGAGCATTCCTGGGAGCACAGGAGCAGAACGGCTGCTGGCAGGAGCCGTTGGGGGGGGGGGGGCGGGGGATGGACGTTGCCCTGACTCCACTCACTTATTGATGAGGTGATGGCGAAGACCCTCCACCCAGCGAGGGCGTGGGGTGGGCCAACAGGAAGCCCGAGGTCCGATGAGTCTTTTCAGGGTCGAGCACTGGGTGGGGAGTATAGAATCCAGGTGGAAACCAGCCCTGGGCTGATGCGAGCGAAACTGTCTGGGCTTGAGCCACGAAGAGCGAAGAAACAGAAAAAGAACTAACGAGTTCAAGGCCAGGCTTCCTGGCAAGGCGAGAAGTTTTCTTATAACAAAGGACTTGGGGTGGAGAGGTTGAGGGTTCCCTTCATACACAGGGACCTTGTGCCAGGAGAGAAGAGCCCTGGTCACAGCAGCATTAGTTGGGGGCAGGACGACAGGGTCACGTGACTCACCCTCAACAGGAAGCTTCACTTAATGGGAGCAGCCTGATCAATACATCGGCCACCTGGAGAGTGACAGGGAGGGACATCCCCCTCCAAGCTGCTTAAGTAGAGGGGAGGGCGGGTGCTGTGGTGCGGCCCGCCGAGTATGGGGTCCGGCGTTTGTTGGCGTGATGGGGGTGGGTGGTGGTGTTGACAGTGGGAGGGTTTGGTGCAGAGGCACTGTGTGTGGTGATGGAGGAAATCATGATGCAGGGGATGGGGGGTGAGGGGAGCGGGGAGATGGTGACGTGGAGGAAGGCTGGTGCGGATGGTCGGGGGCACGGTGTGGGGGTGGGGAGGCTGGTGATCCCGGTCATGGTGATGGTGGTGGTGGTGACGGGGGGATGGTGATATGGCGAGGCTGGTCTAGCAGTGTTGGTGACGGTGGAGAGGGAGAAGGTGAGGCCGATGGCAGACCCTCACGATGGAGGGGGAAAGGTGGTAACAACAGGATGAGGGAAAAGGTCATGCCAACAGGGAGCGGGTGATGGTCATGCCAACAGGGAGAGGGTAAAGATGGCCCCAGTGGGGAGAGGGTAATGGTCATGCCAACAGGGAGAAGGTAATGGCCATGCCAACGGGAGAGGGTAAGGGGCCAGCTGAACTGTGGGGGGCCAGTCATGCCCAGCCTCAGAGCTCATCCCTCCATGAAAAACTGTCGAACATATTTAGATTAACAAACAATTACAAGAAGTGCACAGATAAACCACTTAAAGCCAAACTCAGCCCCTCCTGAGAGAGACGGGCAGTTTAATCGGATTTTGTTCTTTTCTTCAGGTAATTAACTGAGTCTCTGAGGAGTGTCGGCTCGCGTGGCCCTTCCCAGGAGCGCCCGGGCCCCGATCTCAGCAGTTCCCGGCGCTGCCAACACCGGCTGAGACAGCCTCGGCCACTCCAGAGCCCTGGGCTAAGCAGAGGCTCAAAGACATCAGGTCAAAGTCCCCCTCAACCCTTCCTCAGCAGCCTGAGGGGACAGTCAGAGGGAAGAGGACCTGGGGACAGTGGTACAAGGAAGATTCTGGAAGCAGCTGTTTGCTCAGTGAACGCGGGATGGGGAATGTTCCAGAAACTCAGCACGGCACTGAGCGTCACCCGCAAACACGGCTTCTTAGACCTCTGCCCAGGTCCTCCTAAAGCCCACCATGTCCTCAGCTCAGCCTCCCTGGGGCCAGTCTCTGGGGGAGGCACCCCCAGACTGACCACACTGGCCCTCAGCTACCCAGGCCCAGCTGCCTCTATGCTCAAGGGCCCGGCGTTACCAAGAGGCGCTGTGCCTGCTGCCCGGCTCCAGATTATTTCGAGATTATAAAGCGGCCGTTATCGTCTTTCTGTTGATTAACTTTATCTGGTGCCCTACAGAAACAAGAAAATTTCCTGACATTGGCTGGAAGACAGGGTTAAGTAAGCCCTGCGCGGGATGAAAATGTTCTCTGCCTCCACTTACTGCTTCCGAGAGCTGACAGGCGAGCCGGCCGCACCTCGGGCCCTGCATACAGAAGAGGTTGCGGCAGCCCTGCAGAATTTCAAAGGGCCGAAGCTCTGGGTGGGAATGAATGCGGCTGATTCAAATTCCCCTCTGCTGCCCTGCCTGGCAAGGGGAGGGGAACGGGGCTTATTTGAAGCGAACGTGCGGCCACTCTCTTCCCCGGCTCCCTCCACGAAATCGTTTCTCATTGTTCTTGTCCTCCCTGCCCTGGAACCGTGTCCTCCGGGAGAGAGCCTCTTTATCTCCTGCCGCCCAGAGCTCGAAGATAAACTTCCTTGCTCCGGGAGTTGAAATTCAAGCCGGCCACCCAGCGCACGGGGCCGTTGAGAACTTTTCCACTCCAGATTTCCAGTACGATCCCGTCTGCGGGGCCAGTTCCCCCCCCCCCCCCCCCCCCCCAGTGCTGCCTGCCAGGAAAGTTCTAGAAGCGGCTCTTACCTCCGGCTCCCCGCAGTCACACTCCTCTCCTTCCTCCACGTAGCCGTTGCCACACTTCTGGCCCCCGAAGGACTGCTTCACCTCCGGCAGGTTGAAGAGACACATCCCCACGCCTTTCTCCAGGCTGGCCTCCAGGTCCTTCTTGCTGCAGCTGCTGAAGGCCATGGGGAAGGGGAACCTGGGGGGAGACGGGCCGTCAACCCAACGCAGGGGGACTCAGCCAGCCGAGGCTGCCAGACTCGGGACACACTCCCCCAGCCCACCCTCGGGGCCCACACCGGGCCGCAGCAAGGGAGGCCGACTTCCGGTGGGGCTCAAACCAGCACAGTTAGGCAGGGACGTGTCCTAACAGACGTGATTCACAGTGGGCCGGAAATGAGGGGACGGAAGAGGGTCTCTGGGTTCCGGGACAGGTCACAGACATACCAATGCCCTCGCCGCAAAGGGCAGAGGAGAAGAATCACCTGGTGCATGCACGTGGGTCTCCCCGGGGACCCCCGGCACCCAAAGCAAGGCAGAGGGATCAGGGCGTCTCCAGAAGGACCCAGGACCAATGCTCAGAGATGGTGTGCGCTCACCCCCAAACACCAGCATCCAAAGGGAGGTGGAGCGCCCACTGCCTTAGGGAGCTCTCATGCTCGCCTGCCTTCATCTACAGAAGCCAGACCCCAGCCCAGCCCCAACCCTGGCCCCCACCCCAGCCCAGCACAGCTTTGGCGCTGTGAAGTCTGGCAGTGGACAGTGGGAGGTGATGGGGTCACTCCTGACCAGGGAGAGGCTGTTCCTCCTGGCTGTCCTTCCTTCTTCCTTTGCCAGCTGAGCTCATGGTTCAAGTGCTGCAGGAGTTGGGGCTCTGGACATGGGCCCCAGTCTCATGGGGAGCAAAGCCGGGGTGCCAGCAGGCAGGCAGAAGGGCGCTTCTGCCAGGAGGCCACCAGGGTTGTGAGGCGGCTCCCGCCAGAGTCCCTCCTGCTCGGACACTGCCCTGGTGGCGGTACATAGCCCAGACTCAGGGAGAGGCAGGGAGAGTCCCCGAACCCGAGTCCCCTTGCCTACAACTCCAGAGTGAGGTGCTGGGATGGGTTCTGACAGCCCCATGCCTGGCAGGAATCAGAGGGAACGGGCTCTCCACCGCCAGACTGGTACCCGTCCTGCGTCTCCATGTCAGGGCATTGACTCGCGTCCTTCTCCTTTCTGACCAACCAACGCCAAGCCTTGCTCTCCGATGCAAAGGCACAGGCCGGGCCTCACTGGGTGGGTGGCAAGTGAGTCCCCTGGAAATCCCTCTAACCTCTCAGTAGACAGACGGGTCACTCTTGCTATCAGTGACGCTGAATAGCTCCCAGTGATAAGTCACCAGGAAAAATAGTCATTTGACCCACGTTGAAGAGTTTGAGAGGGAAAGAACAGTGGTCCCCTACCCAGGGAACAAAAAGCATTTCTCTTCTTTTCAAAAAAAAAAATCAGCCTCATCAAGGCAGAGATGAGACCCTCGTGTATGGGGTGGGGGGCTTTCCCAGGAGGCATGAGCCCCTCCAGGCTAGAGGTGGAGAAACCAGACAACCGTCCCATCTCAAGATAAGCTGCCAATGTGGCCAAGAGCACCCGGCAGCTCTTTCCAGAAAGATCTCTAGAAACTGTTAGCAGCTCATTAGGAAAGACACGAGGGTCAACCAGACACAAGTTCGAAGGGGCAGGAAGAGGTTGAAGCCGCAGCAGCAGCAGCAGCAGCACGGACAGACAGACGCCAGGTGGAGGATGGAACCACCCTGCCTCTTAAGTGGGCAGCCCCCGAGGTCCTCTCTGACGGGTTGGGGGGGGGGCGCTCAACCCTCGCACCCCTCCCCTTCCAGAGGAAATCCATTCTGGGATTTTGGGGGACCTGGTTCAAGAGAAGGGTGAGACTCAGGATGCCCTGATCTGCCGTAGCCTGGGAGAGTGTGGGGCCAGGTGGAGTTTGCAGGGAGGTGTCAGGTGTGGTGGGCGCCCCCTGGCTCCTGTAGCTCCCTGACTTCTCCCTCCTGCTGAAGGATGGAGCTCCAGTGTCCTCTCTGCATGCACTGCCGGCCTGGGGCTGTGGGCTGCGTCCTGGCCCAGCCCTGCAAGTCCTCTGTGTTGAGGGCGCCAGGAGCTGATGCTGTGGGAGTCCCCAGGTGGTGCTGTGATGCATCACTTCCGGGTGCCTGGAGCCCAGAGCGCACCTCCAGTCTCGCCCGACTTCACCAGGGCCTCCTACTGCCCAAGCTGGCACCATCACCCTGCTGGCCACCACTGGCTAGCCCCCAGGAGCACCCGCTCTCCCTGCAAGCCAGACCATTCTGAGCTGTCCTGAGGGGTCCCAAGGAGGTGCTATGGGCAGGCCTGTACCCTCCCCCTGCCTCCTGCTTTCTCCTTGGTCTGGGTCAGCTGTGTCCCTCCCTATCATGAGTGAGGCCAGGTATACACACCCCTTCATCATCCGAGACTCACCCTGGACCACACACGAGACCAAGGGGCATATGCGGGGAGAATCATCCCTTCATGGCCTCCCACTCGGGAGGACAGAACACAAGTTCACTCTGACAGAGAATATTCCAGAATTCTTTGGGGATTTAGAAGAAGAAGCGCTGCCCATTCATTACCATGCGAGTATTTTTTTTCAGGGGGCACACCTACACCCAGCAGTGCTCAGGGGTCACTCTGGCTCTGCACTCAGGAATTATTCCTGGTGGGACTTGGGGGACCATATGGGATGCTGGGGATTGAACCCAGGGCGGCCACATGCAAGACAAACGACCTCCCTGCTGTACTATCACCCCGGCCCCAAGCATGCCGTCATTCTGCAAACATTTCCTCGGCACCTGCTCTACACCAGGCATCATGCCAGGCCCAGGGCTTGGGGAACAACCAACAGGCAGATGTGCTTCCGGGCAGTTCTCCCGGGAGGACAGACACGACTCTTGCGAGGGAAGTGCATCCATGGGACGGTGGGGGATTGCTCTGAAGACACTATGCCAGCCCAGGGGAGCCACCTGCAGGATAAGTGCCCAACCCATGGTACATCAGGCCCCCAGACCCACACAATATTGAGAAGATAACCTAGAGACAAGCATATGTCTATCTCTGTGAAAGACACAAAATCAGCCTAGGCACCTCATGGGCCAATTTCTTGCATGTAGAAGTTATTGTCTTGCTCTGTGGCCTAGTTTTCTAAGAGAACCTTGAAGTACAGTCTTTTGTTATTTTGCTTTTGGACCACACCCAGCTGTCCATGCCCATGCTCTTAACTTATAGTTAAGTATTCTGGTGCTTTGGCCTGACCCATTTTGATGCCAGGGTAGCTCACAGCGTGCCCTGAATCCACCCAGTCCCTCGTTGGGACCCTGCTTTTGGGGTGCTAGGAAGTAATGGCAACTGAGGCTTAAGTCGAGATAACAGATGCCCAGGAGTGAGTATTTTTCGGAGTCAATTAACTCCCAAGTTACAAAAGCATAGCATTAACTGTATTAACTGTCTTCCTGTGTCTATACAGAAAGGACATTGCTCTGGAATTAACTTTGCAAAGGACTGAAGGAGAAGAGAAAAGCAATATTTACAAGCTGACAAAGTCTGATTAGGAGATACAGGTGGTTGACCGGTTGGGGAAGCAGAGCACAAAGAATGAGGTTACAGATAAACACAGAGGAATGGGAGTGACTCGGGAGCACTGTGATGGGTGTCACCCAAAAAACCTAAGCTCCCTGTGCCAAGGCAGGAAGGACAAATCAATGTTATCCTACACCCAGCGATACTCACTGCTTGAGGGGGTCATTCCCAGTGGTGCTTGGGACCCCGTGAAGTCCCTGGGGATGGACCCTGGCCTCCGTGAGAAGCCTGCCCCCAGCTCTTGGAGCGACCCCTTCGGTCCGCCTGGGCGCAGCGTTTTGAAAACCGTGTGATTTGAAGAGTGCACTAGAAATTTTCGGGGTTCTTACTGCCTATTTGGATTTGGATCCCGACGCCAAGCTGCGATCAGGAAGGAACTTCCGAATGCTGGCAAGCAGTGAGCAGATGCATGATGACCCCCTGGCATGCACAGCTCTTGGCTGTGAACACAGGTTACTCTTTGGAAGCTGTTTCCTTCCTTCCCATTTCCACGCCAAAGTCTGGTCACTCTGAACCGCCGTTCGCTCACTTCATTGCTGTCGGACTGGCTGGCTCCCGTCCCCGGAGGATTTATTGAGAAAAAGCACATCGAGCTGGCTCCTGACATCAAAGACCTGGCCTAGCCACGGTCAGCTGTTTGAAGAGACAAGCCCTGGTTTCCTCCCTGGCCTTTGACAATCCCGTCTCAATGAAGACAGTCGTACGGCTGTCAACCACCCGAACGTGTCAGCCAGCAGTTAACTGACAGCAGGAGAGGCAGGCGCAGCGCCATCCAACAGGAGAATTAGGCAGGAAAGACGACCTTCTTTGCTGAGATTTTCACCTGGCACAAGAACGCTTGAAAATGATTTGGCTCTGGCTGGGCCCAGAAAAAAAAATAAAATAAAAACAACCTCAAAAATGTGGCTTTCAGCTTCTGGGTGGAGAAGTTCTCATCACTGTGCCACGGGCCGCGGTCCTGTCCTTAAGCCGCATCTTCCCTTTGCTCTAAACCTGAACGATCGGGGACCCCCGGTGGGTATTCGCCCACCCGGACAGGAGGGAAGAGCTGGAGGAGGGGACGGAGCAGACAGCGGATGGTTCTGGAAAACAAAACTGAGCCCAACACTTTTTCCAGGGACAAATGCCTCTTGTGGCTTCTACCGTAAACGCTGCCCGGGTCTCAGCTCTCAACGCTGCCAAACCAAACATGACACGGGACTGCTCAGGTGACAGATCTAATCCTTAGAAGCTCGTCCGCTTGTGAGAGATGATTGTGGCTGCACCGCTGTGGTCTGGGGCTGAAGCAGACTCAGCCAACCCGCCAGCCTTGGCAGCAGGTGCCGGGAGTTACCTGCCTTGCCAGAGCTTTCTGGAATCTTCCAGTGACAACCGCTTCCCTGGCCTTCCATTGGCAACCTAGGGGCATCGCAAGACTCCCTGTAACACACCTGACTCCCACCAGCATGGGCCCCTGGGCTCCGAGACGGTGGCTGAATGCAGGACAGAAGCCGAAGTAAGCAGAGGGAGGACAGGTGGCAGAGATGACAGCCGGGGACTGTCAGAGCAGCACAG